TTGAAAATGTAGTCATGTTTATTTTTTGGTAGGACTAGGGTTTGAACTCAGGGCTTCATGCTTGCAAAACAGGTTCTCTACTGTTTGAGCCACACCTCCAGTCCAATTGAATTTTTTTTTTTTTTTTTTTTTTGGCAGTACTGGGACTCCAGGCCTCATGCGTGGTAGGCGGGCCTTTTGTCACTTGAGCCAGCCCTTGTCATGCTTTTAACAGTATTGTGATCTGCTTAACTTCTTCCCAGAATTTTCACTTATAGAGGTTTAACACAATTTTTAAGTCTTCAGAATGGTGTGCTTTAAGAGATTAGGACACTCAAAGAAGAATTAACTGTTTATGTTGTTGTTAATTTGGATTTGCAGTACTTGGTTATTCAGGAGTGTATTACCTGATAACCAGTGCCCCACTGCCTTGTAAACTACTGGTCACGGAGGTTAAACTTTGGGTTGGAGAAAGAAGAAATTCAGTTACCGTGTGTGTCCATGTAGATCTCATGTTTCTAAAGTCAAATAGAAAAACATAGCTAAATAACATTTTTACATATTTAATGCTGCTGCTTCCACTCTGATATTTATTTATTTTAATAACTATTCAAATATACTTTACCTAACCAGTTTTCTAATAAAAGTTTAAGGATAGGATCCAGTATCATGAAATTCATTACTTTAAAATGTGGAAAGCAGTGACTTTTAGTCTATTGACAGAGTTGTACAACCATCACCATGATGTAATTTGAGAACATTTTGATTACTTTAAAATAAACCCTTCCATTAGCAGGTACTCTCCAGTTACCCCTCCCCCTAGCTTCTGGCAACCACTAACTTTTAGTTTCTCTGACCTTGCCTTTCCTGGAAATTTTATGTAAATGGAATCATATAATATTTGGCTTCATTCGTGCAATGTAATGTTTTCAAGGTTTTGTCCGTGTCATAGCATGCATCAGTACTCATCTCTTTTTAGTTCCAAATAATAGCTTATTTTATGGATATATCACATTTTTAAATCCGTTCCTTGGTTGATGAATATTTGGGTTGTTTCCACTTTTTTTGCTATTATGTATAATGTTGAGAAGAACATTTGTGTACAGATTTTTATAGAGATTTGTATTTTCATTTCCCTTGAATATATAGTATAATTCCCCAGTCACATGGGAACTTTTTTTTTTTTAACAGTACTGAGGTTTGAACTCAGGGCCTACATCTTGAGCCACTCCACCAGCCCTTTTTGTGAAGGGATTTTTTTTTTTTATCATGAACTATTTGCCCTGACTGGCTTTGAACTTCAAGCCTCCTGATCTCTGCCTCCTGAGTAGCTAGGATTACAGGTGTGAGCCACCAGTGCCTGGTTTACATATGACTTTTTGAGGAACTGGTATACTTCACCAAAGTGGCTGCATCGTTTTATGTTCCTACTAGCAGTGTATGAGCATTCCATTTTCTCTAAATTGTTACCCACTTAATATTACTTTCTGAGTATAGCCATCCTAGTGGGTGCAAAGTGGTACCTCGTTGTGGTTTTGTGCTGTGGTGCTGGGCATTGCACCCAGGGCCTTACTAATACTAGGCAAGTGCTGTACCTACGAGCCACACTTCCAGCACCTCCTTGCGATTTTGATTTGTGTTTCCCTGAAACTAATGGTGCTCAGTGTGTATGTGCATTGGCCATTTGGTATCTTCTTTGGAACAACATCTGTTCAGATTCTTTGCCACTTTGAATCTCTTCTTTGGAGAAATGTTTGTTCAAATCCCTAGCTTATTTTTTAGTGGAGTCAAAGTTGTGTGATTTATATAATCTAGATACAAGTCTTTATAGGTATGATTTGCAAAAACTTTATTCCATAGATTGTTTCATTTTCTTTGTGGTATCCTTTGAAATACACATTTTAAGTTCCCCCTGTCCAAAATAACTAGAGCTAAAAAGGCAAAAGGCTGGCTTAAGTGGTAGAGTGCCTGCTTCACAAGTGTGAAGCCCTGAATTCAAACCCCAAAAGTGTATTTTGCTGCATGTGCTACAAAAAATACTTGAATAGTTAATATTAAATATATTAGGAAAACTTAGAGAACTATTGTTCTCTGGTGACATTTTTATTCATATCTTAATTTCTTTTAGCAACTTTCCCCTTTTTTTCTTAATTGTATTTCCATTAGTTGGGTATAATACATTTGTTATTCTGATTATACAATGTATGGTAAGGGCTTGTTTCTATTAAGTTTTTCATCACATACATCTAGACTTATTTTCAAAATAAATTAGTTATTAGAAAGAAAAAACAACTGTGCATAATTTTCTTTTGGAAAATCGATTTTCATGCTGTGCAGTTGTCCTTCAGTATGTATTACTCTTTACTTAAAAGTGGTGTTCTAGGTACAGAAGAGAGACTTTAAAATGACAAAATCTGATCCCTGCTCTCAAGGGAACCAATGATGTAGATAGAAGTGCTCACAATGAGTAATATAAGGAAAAGAATGGGGGGAGTATTTTGAGGTTTGGATTGGGAACTTTAAATCCCACCAGTTGAACCTTGGGGAAGGAATGCAGGTATAGTAGAATAATCTGATACTAAATATCATTTCAGTGTTATTCACGTAACAGATATAAGATATAGGATGAAGGAGGTATCTCTCACCATTGTGGGCCAGTTTCAACTGGATGCTCTGAGTTCCCTCTGTCCTGCTTGAGGAATGTTGCTCCTGCTGCTGTGTCTTCAACTCTTTAGTTTGAATCTTTCAACCTCAGTGTTCTCCCATTAAAAAGGATGGAAAAGTATTCACTGTAGGTCCCCATCTCTGCCTTACCTCCCTCCATACTTACTAACTCTGCTTCTATAAAGAAGAGTTGATCTGCGGAGTCTCCTCACTGCATACCACTGTAGTCAGCCTTCTTCTTAAAATACTCCACTGCACTTGAATTTTCTAGCTACTTCTCTTTGACAAGGCCAATGGTCATTTTTCTGCCATTACTTTGTTTACTTGATCTCTGAGCATCTGACATTGCCAGCTAATCATTTCTTGAAATTCTCTTCCTTATAATAAGTCATTCTTTCATTTTCTTTGCTATGGTCCTCCTCCTTTTCTATACTTCTCTCTCTGGTGGCACTGGGGTTTGAACTCAGGGCCTCACACTTGCTAGGCAGGCGCTCTACTACCTGAGCCACCCCGCCAACCCTCTATATCTTTTTAAAAGACCCTCCTGTCCTTAGTTTTCAATTGTCGATATTCACCTAGGTTCCATTCCTTAGCCTTGCCCCACAGTGTATAAGCATGTGTCCTCTAAAACAAAACTCCTGCCATGTGTCTTCCTAAAGGTCCTCCTACCTTATCTGTCAGCATGCCAATCTGACAGGATTGCCTTTCAGTTTGCTTCTCTGTGTGTCTTTCCGGATGATAAACACAGCATTACTTTGTCCTTGCTCAATACTTTTCTACAGTTTGCTTTGTATTTCTGCTGCCACAAATGAGTGTGCTTTTTGCTTAGAGCAGGAATTCAGGTCTTTGTAATGGAGCAGAAGTCTCTTCCATGTCCTTCATGTAGACAGTATTTAGTAAATGGTGGTTGAGATTTTTTTGTTGGTTGGGTTTTGTTTGCCATGGGCAGAAGCCCAGTGTAGCAATCATAGTATAGGATGGATTCAGCGACTGTGTTTTTCTGCTCTTCCATCCTTGTATATTGAAATATCTTCATAAACTGGCTTCACTCATGGTCACAAGGTAGCTGTCACCACTTAGGTGTCACTTGCAAATGAAAATGCTTAAGGCAGAAAAGAGAAATGTTCCTTTATAAGAGCCTAAAACCCCTTTTAAAACTGAAGAAGCTGGGCTCTGGTGCTCATTCCTATAATCCTAGTTACTCAGGAGGCAGAAATCAGGAGGATTGAGGTTCAAAGCCAGCCTGGGCAAATAGTTCTTGAGACCCTATCTCAAAAACACCCATCACAAAAAAGGAGTGGTGGCATGGCTCAAGGTGAAGGTCCTTAGTTCAACCTCCAGTACTGGGGGGAAAAAAAAAATGAAGAAAACATCAAAAGTACTTTGCTGTGGGCCAGAGTTGTGACTCGTGCTAGTGCCTGTACCATCCAAAGCAAAGAGAATGAGAGCACCATGATTGCAAAGTCTTCAGTTCAAACCTCAGTACCACACACACAAAAAAAGAAAAAAAAAAAAAAAAAGGAGCACTGTGACTGGGGCTGGGTCCACCAGTAGCATCCTTGGGAGCTTGTGGCAAATCCGCTGAGGTGGCCCTCACTCCAAGCTTGCTTAATTAATGTAAGGAACTCAGGCTAAGCAGAATTTACCAATCTGTCTTAACCTATACTTCAAGCAATTTTCATGCACACAAAGTTTGAGAACCATTGACTTAAGTGCAATCGAGATTTATCCTTTGGGGCTTGGGAGAGGCCTAGCAGCTTCTGAAAGACTCCCAGGCCAGGAAAAATAAAAAGAAAAGGGGAATGAATGGATGAGGGATAGGCAAGCAAGTTAAGTTTGCACAGTTTTTAAGAGGTGGGCTCTTTCTTAGTGTCACCTACCTTGCTCCCTTTATCCAACCCTGTCTGGGCCTCAAGACCTCATGCTGATCTACCTGCTAATTCCAGAAGTAATATAATCCTCCTCAAAAGTTAGAATCCTTAGTTGTTGCTTCTGATTGTAGAACTACTGTGCAAGTAATCTGGTTTATTTGCTTTGAAGTATTTTGAGTGTCCCTAGATTATAGAAGTATGAATACAAAATAAACCACTTTAAAAACTTAAGCAAGATATTACTAGTAGTTACTTCTGGATGGTCACTTGCAGTGTTTTATTTTTTCTTTTTCTGCCTTTTGTAATTTTTCCTAAGGCCATTTATATTGATTTTTGCACTGAGAGAAAGACTTACTGAGCTAAAAAGATATTTTTAAATTAAAAACATTAAAAAGATTTCAATAATCTGTGGATTAATACTCTTTTCTCATATATATAGCTGTATTATATGCATCTAGTTTTAAAAACATTGTGCTTTTTTGATAGGTTTCCTAAAAGACAGGAAAAATGGAGGTGTCTGTAAACCAAATGCAACCACTGAGTGAGAAGCAAATAGCCAATTCTGAAGGTGGCTGTGTGTGGCAAGTCACTGACGTGAATCGCTTGCACCGATTCTTGTGCTTCGGTTCTGAAGGTGGGACTTACTACATCAAAGAACAAAAACTGGGCCTGGAAAACGCAGAAGCTCTAATTAGACTTATTGAAGATGGCAGAGGATTTGAAGTGATACAGGAAATCAAGTCCTTTAGTCAAGAAGGCAGAACCGCCAAACAAGAGCCTCTGCTCTTTGCCCTTGCCATCTGTTCCCAGTGTTCCGACATCAGCACGAAGCAGGCAGCTTTTAAGGCTGTTCCTGAAGTTTGTCGCATTCCTACACATCTCTTTACTTTCATCCAGTTTAAGAAAGATCTCAAGGAAAGCATGAAGTGTGGTATGTGGGGTCGTGCTCTCCGGAAGGCGATTGCAGACTGGTACAATGAGAAAGGGGGCATGGCCCTTGCTCTAGCAGTTACAAAATATAAACAAAGAAATGGCTGGTCTCACAAAGATCTATTAAGATTGTCACATCTTAAGCCTTCCAGTGAAGGTAAGCCTAAGATCTTACTGAGGGCCGGTGGGGGGTACAAATTTTCACTTGATATTACGTAATTATTTTGTAGAATTAGCCTTTCATTCACAAGACATACGTTGACTAATTCAAATATGTTTAATGTCAACCTGGAACTGAATACCTAGAGGCAGCCCACATATGAGTAGTCAAGAACCATATGACAGATTTACAGGTTAATATTCTAAATCATAAAATGTCACCATGCTAACTACAATGCTCACCCAAGTGACTGTGGGCTATGAATGCAGCGCAGAGAAGACTACCGTTGTAGTAAGCAAAGCAGCTGCTTGCAGTAGGTGGCAGATGGCAAGCTGTACTGCTCTAGCCTCATTTCTTTCCCTGCCTTTCTCCCTAGAGCAGATCTCCAAGGAACCCAAAGGCTACCTGAAATAGTGCTGGCCTTAACAATTCAGGATGTAAATTGCCTGCAAGCACTTAAGCAGGGGACACGGTGACATGACAGTTTTTCTGTACCTCTGAGAAGAAACTTCAGAAGTTAGCTGCGTTTGCAATAACTAGCTGGTCTTTCTTAGAAGGGAATAAAACCTCAAGGGGAAGAAATAGTTTGAAGTGTGGGTTTCTACAAAAATCAGTTTGTCTAAAACTTGACCTTTTTTGCACCAGAAGTGAAACCTGAGAAAATAGCTACTCAGTGGATTCAAATTTTAGTTCTACTCATTACTTTGTGTCTCCAAGCCAAGTAAATGAACCTTTCTGAGTTTTTCTACTTTCTCCTGTTAAAATTGTTGTGACTAAATGTAATTGTGTGTATAAAATCCAAGTTCCTGCCTTGTAGAAGTGCTCTATTGAGTCCCTCTGCATGTGTGGTGGAATGATAGCTTTATGCACAGAATCTCTTCAGGAATCCCGAATTTATCATGTCTTGACTATAAGTGATCTTTCCAGTGAAATTTAAGCACTAAATTATTCATGTGCACACTTTGTTTTGATTCTTTAGTTAGGGACTACATGTTTAAAATAGTTGAATAAGCTGAGTGTGGTAGTACACATGGGAGATTGAGGTAGGAAGATCAAGAGTTCCAGAACAGCCTGGGCTGTGTAGCAAGACTCCACTTCCAAAAAAAAAAAAGGTTGAATAATACAGAAAGAACATGCTTGCGAGACAGGGGCTCTACCATCTGAGCTATACCATCAACCCAGAAAGTATGAATTCTGCCCTTCAAAAGAAATCATTGTATATGATATATTGTGTTTTACCCCAGATTTTTTCCTAACCATATACTATCATGTATTTTTTACATCCCACCTTTCTTTCAGTTAAAAGCATATTATTGCATTTTTTTCAGGTCAGTGGAAATAGTTGCATATATAATATTGTATAAATATTCTATAATTTATTTAGCCTCTTGTTTTCTTATTGGTGACTGTTAAATAGCTTCCTTTTCAAATACTGTTACAAAAATACTGCAGTGAAAAAACTTGCTTAGAGTAAATATAATTGTTCAGTCCACAAAGAGAAGGGAAAAGTGGCCTGTTTCCCTACATTTTGTCTTTGTGTATAGAATAGATGAAAAATCCTACCTTGCTCTTCGGATTTACATTTTGGAGCAACAGCCCATCTTTTCATATGGCTACTGATTATTTTTGTGTGTGTGTATTATATTATTGTATCATTGCCTTTTCATTTGCTTAGTTATTACTTTTGATATTGATTATGATCATCATTCTTTCATGCACCAAATATTTATTGAGCAGTTAATATTGATCAATGCTGTTCTAAGAACTTGGGATACATGTTAGAGGTATTTTTAATTTGTTATTACATGCATTGCACATATTTTCCCCAATTCTTTTTACTCTTGGTTTGGGGAGGGATTGTTTCTGGCACACTGAAGTTTGGGTTTTTAAATGCAGCCAAGCTTACTGTGTCTTCATAGATTTTCATTTTGCGTTAGGTTTAGAAAAGCCTTTTCTAAAGACTTTAGGAAGTTAAAGTCATAAAAGTATTTACCTGTAATTTTTTATTAAATATGATTTTTTTACAGATTTTTTTTTCCTGTGTGTGTCTGTTACTTGGGTTTGAACTCAGGGCCGCACACTACCACTTGAGCCATGCTCCTAGCCCTATTTACTTTAGTTTTTATCAGATAGGATCTCATGTTTTTGCCTGGAGCCAGCCTCAGAATGTGATCCATCTTCCTATGCCTCTGGCATAGCTAGATGACAGGCATAAACCACTATGCCTAACTTATTGAATGAGTTGGGGTCTTGTCTCCCTTTTTTCCTTGGCCTCCAGCCATAATCCTCTCGATCTCCACCTCCAGTTAGGTGGGATTGCAGGCATTATGCCTAGGTTATTTTGTATTTTAAGTCTTTGATACAGTTTTAAGAAGATCAGCATTCAGCTTTAGATGTGGAATGGAGCAAGTACAAGAGTAAGAGAAAGATCACCTAGTACTCATCATAACTAGACAAATGAGTTTCTAAAGTTGTGAAAATGATTAGTCTGGGCTTTCTTTTCTATCTTATATAATGAAAAATCATTAAATGTTCCTTAAACTGCCACCCATAAGATTCTTTTGTTCTCAATATTAAGTGCAAAACTCATAAACTGTAAGTAAGCTGTAGAATAATATGTTAATGTCTTAGCTGTAATATGTATTTATAACAGACAAAACAAGTCAAAGTATGATTCAACTAACAGGTATGTATTGTGCACTGGTATGCCAATAGAACTGGTAGGACAACACTGCTTTAAGGAATTCTTATTTTCATTGGAAAAATGATATAGAACAACACATGCTTTTGTGAAGAAATCACTTAAGACTGTTTTGTATCCAAATGTAGACAATAACAAGAGTCACAGAACTCTATAAATTCCTGCATGTTAGTATTAACTTTTGATCAAATAATCATTCGGCCTTTAAAATATCTTAGGGAGGCCAGACCCCATGGCTCTAGCTTATAACCATAGTTACTCCACAGGCAGAGATCAGGAGGGTCACATTTTGAGGCCAACCTGGTCAAAAAGTTCTTGAGAGCCCATCTTCACATTGGCTGGGTGGGGTGGAGTGTGCCTATCATCGTAGCTATATGGGGAAGTAAATAAGATTGAAGCCCAGGCCGGCCAGGGCATAAAGTGAGAACCTACCTCAAAAATAACCAACACAAGAAGGGCTGGTGGAGTGGCTCAGGTGATAGAGCAACCACAAGGCCCTGATTTCTACCCTTAGTACTGCCAAAAAAAAAAAATAATAATAATAATAAAATTCCTTTGGGAAAAAATGAATTCTTTATCAATATTTTAAAAAATCAAAAGTTCCATGAAACTGACTTCTCTTGAAAGTACGTTTTTGGCAGCACCAAGCCACTCCGTGGCAAAGCCACAGTCAGTTCACCATCATCCTAAGGACTTCTATTCCACCAAGCCCTGCATGTCATTTACCTCAGAGATACTTGAAAGTGATCATTTGATACCCATTCCCTGCAGATGTGGAAACTAAAACCTAGAAAGATCAGCATATCTTGGCAGGTTTCTTTACCCCCAAGCTTCTTTCTACTATTAGAAGACGGTAGACAGAATGAACAAATTCTTTTTCTTTAAGTTGGGCCTATGATAATTTCTGTTATTTAACAATTTTAACTTCTACTAATCTCTGTCAGTCACAGGTGCATATTTATTCAGAAGTATAGGGGGACAAGTGAATAAGATGTCAGTTGAAATAGATCTATACTGTTGTGAGTTGTTCTGAGGCTGTGGACCAGAAATAGCTACTATCTCAAAAGAGCCTCTGTGATACAATTACTTAGAATATAGAAGGTTTTTTTTTCTGTTTCATGTTTATACAGTAATGATGTAATAAGCTAATTAATTCACTCTCTTTGCCTAAATGTTGTTATATCCCAGAAAACAGCATCCTACTTTGAGAGTGTTAACTGTGTTATCTAGTTAAGCTGATCATGATGCGTTCTCTGGAACCATGTTCTATTTTTGCTTGGTAATCCTATGTGCCCTGTTCAATTCTTTGTCTTGTTAAAGGACTTGCCATTGTGACCAAATATATTACAAAAGGCTGGAAAGAAGTCCAGGAATTGTATAAAGAAAAAGCACTTTCTGTGGAGACTGAAAAATTGCTGAAGTATTTGGAGGCGGTAGAGAAAGTGAAGCGCACAAAAGATGAGCTGGAAGTCATTCATCTGATAGAAGAACATAGATTAGTTAGGGAGCATCTTCTGACAAATCACTTAAAGTCTAAAGAGGTGAGTACATTATTGTCAAAAGAGAAATTTGATGTGCAAGGCTCTAGGTTCTATCCCCAGCACCACAAGAAAGAGAGAGACATACCAAGACAGACCAACCAAAACTACATCTTAAAATGAATGTTTACTGAAAATCCATAACATTGAACTGGAGGTGTAGGTCAAGTGGTTAGAGCACCTGCTTTGCAAGTGGGGTGCTCTGAGTACAAATCCCAGTCTCACAAAAACAAAGCAACCTAACCTAGCCAGGCATGGTGATCTCAGCGCTCGGGAGCCTGAGGTAAGATTATGAGTTCTAGGCCAGCCTGGGCCATGTAGTGAGACCCTGCCTCAAAAACAAAACAGAAACAAAAACTCTTAACAACTGACATCTTCTGTTAATTCCACTCCAGAAAACATGACACCTTGTAATTTTAAAAGCTCTGTGCATGCATTTCCTTCATAAAATACTGTGAGCCTGCCTTACTTGTGGATTTATTAAAGGCAATTTTGACCAAGCGTGGTGAAAAAAATAATAATAAATTGAAAAATCAGTCTGAAGGCATGGCTGAAGCACCTGCTAGAGCACCTGACTAACAAGTACAAAACACACACATCAAAAGAAATTTCAAAACCAAAAAATTTGAATTCTCACACGCTTTTCCACAGCCCATCTGATGCGGAGCACCCAATCTTGCGTTATTGTCAGTTGTGTTTTAAGTCGTTGTGTGTTCTGCTGAGTATTTTCCCTGACCTTAATTTTGTGAAAATCTGCCTCCCAAAAAGCAAATGGTGCCCAACAAGCCAGATGAAAGTGAATGTTCTTAATTGAAGCGATAAATAAAAATTGTTGAAAGGTGCTGTCTTTAAGGAAGCTGGTGCCTATCGGAATGGTGAATCCAGCATTCGCAGTTCAGCACTCAACTTATGCATCCTGTGTAGGCGTGGGTTGTCCCCCATTGTCTACTGTAGGTCTACCAAATTCTACTATACCTCACTTCCTTATTCTAATGAAAGAACAAGTTAACTTCTTTGATAAGACTTTGATCAATTAAGGCAAATTTTCATTCTGTGGAAGTACTTTGAACTCTAAGTGAAAGTCTTAGAGAATATACTAATAATTATTGATGTAACTGTGTTAAACTGATTTATTTCTCCTTAGTTCCTTATATTTTTACCTGAGTTAGTCCCCTTAATTCCTTCTGTTTCTTTTTATAGATATGGAAGGCTTTGCTACAAGAAATGCCTCTGACTGCATTACTAAGGAATCTAGGAAAGATGACTGCTAACTCAGTGCTTGAACCAGGAAATTCTGAAGTATCTTTAGTATGTGAAAAACTATGTAATGAAAAACTGCTAAAAAAGGTATGCATTCTCATTGGCATTTGTTAGCTAGTACCTTGGAGAACTTGGCTCTTAAATTGGGAATTCAGTCAGAATTTATAGGTGTTCTGAAACTTGTATCTTACTAGATTGCATTTTGACACTTTAATACATCCTCATTTTTCTCTTTTCTTTATTAAATGTGTTTATTAGCTTCAGTAACAAAAATTTAAGGAAGACCCACAATTACTATTTTTTACCTAAATGTTGTATTTTATTTTCTTTGTCTTTGTTCCTAGGCTCACATACATCCATTCCACGTTTTAACTGCACTAGAAACTTACAAAACAGGTCATGGGCTTAGAGGGAAACTGAAGTGGCGCCCTGATGAGGATATTTTGAAAGCCTTGGATGATGCTTTTTATAAAACATTTAAGGTAATGGTTTTATTTTTATTTTTAAAAAAGTGAGTTGGGATGTAATATCTTTTGTAAAAATGCATTTTAGAGGAAATATTAATAGTTCAGCCATTTTTGAATACTTATTTCCCTTAATTTATGTGAAGGTGGCTATGTAATTAACATTTAAAGTTTGGTTTTCTTTTGTTTTGGTGGTAATGGGGTTTGAATTCCTTGGGGCTTTGTGCTTGGTAGGCAGGCACTCTACCACTGGAGCCCTTCCTCCAGCCCCTTAACATTTAAGTTTTATGAGAAAAGTATTTCTCCTTACTTTGGGAAGCAAGTTACTTATCCTAAGGTCATTTTGACTATATTAACTAATCGTTTTGGTAAATTACTAAATTTAAGAATTTGTATTCCTGTGGGATTCTTTGACTTGGTCCTTGGTCTACTGTTTTTCCCATTAATTAGTAAATGGATTTCATCACTCTTGATAATGAGTTTTTCAAAATGGAACTCGCATATCAAAGCCACAAGATAAAATTTTCAGTTTTAGGGGTAGCAGAGTGGCTCAAGTGGTAGTGCAGCTGCCTAGCAAGCCTGAGGCCTTGAATTCAAACTCCAGTACTGCCAAAAAAAAAAAAAAGGAAAAATGGCTTTAAAATTTTCTTTATACACGACAAAATACTGACATGCAAATTCAGCAGTAAATTGAAAGAGTTATAAACCATCACCAAGTGACATTTATCCCTGACATGAAGGGTGCTTCAACATATGAAAACCAGTCAGTGAAGGGATGGAACTGTGGTTCTCAACTGATGCAGAAAAAAAACATTTTACAAAATGTATCATGATTTAAAAATAGACAAAAAAGTCACTTAATAAACTAAGACTAGGATAATGGATGTACTTACCGTGATAAAGATCATAGACCTGAAAAACAAAACAGCATTCTAACATCATAGTCTCAGTGATGAAAGATGAAAAGATTTTCCCTTAAGATCAAGAGTCATGAGGGTGTGGCTCGGGTGATAGAGCACCTGCCTAGCAAGTGTGAGACCCTGTGTTCAAAAGTCATTGGGGGGTAGGGAATGGAGGGGAGGATATACTGTAAGACAAGGATGCAGGAGCGTCCAGTTTTTCCACTTCCATTCTACATAAAGCTGGAAGTCCTAGTAATTCAGCAAGGTAAAAATTTAAAACATCCACATTGGAAAAGAAGAAGTAAAATAATTATCTTCAGGTGCCATAACGTTATGTAGAAAATCCTAAAGAACAAATACACACCCATGCACACACCCACGTACACAACTTACAGAGTTAACAAGCAAATTCAACAGAGCTGCAGGATATAAAATCAACACATTAAAAACTAACAGTTGTATGTGTACACATTAACAATAAACACTTTGAAAAGGAAATTGTGAAATTATGTCCATTTACAATACCATAAAAAAGACAGGAATAAATTTAGGGGCTGCAGGAATTGTACACCAAAAACCATAAAACAAGTGCTGAAAGAGTAAGACAACTGGAAAGACATCCACGTTCCTAGTTTGAAAGACTTAATGATTTAAGGTGGTAGTGTGATCCAGAGTGATCAACAGATTCAACACAGTCCCTTTCAAAATACCAATGTCACGTTTATAAAAAAAACCCACTCTAAACTTCCTAAGACATTTCAGGTGACCCAAATAAGCAAAACAATCTTGAAAAGAAGAACAAACTTTGAGGACCAACACATCTGGATTCCAAAACTTAACTACAAAGCTACAATAATCAAAACACTATGCTTCCAGCATAAGGACAGACATGCAGCCCAAAGAAATAGAATGGGAAGTCCAGAAATAAACTCTGACATATATGGTTGGTTGAATTTTCAGAAGGGTCAGGATGATTCAATGGAGAAAGAACAGTATTCAACAAATGGTGCTGGACACACTACATATTCACACACAGAAGACTGAAGTTGAACCATTTCCTTATACCACATAAAAAAATTGTTTTACAGTGGGTAAAACCTAAATTTAAGAGCTAAAACTATAAACGTCATAAGTACCAGTAACAACCAAATAAATTGGCTTTCAAAATTAAAAACTTATGAGCATCAGAAAAATAAAAACTCTGGTGCCAGTAGCTCACACCTGTAATCCTGGCTACTTGAGAGGCTGAGATTGAGAGGATAGAGGTTCCAGGCCAGCCTGGGCAAATGGCTCATGAGACCCCATCTCAACCAATAGCTGTGTGTGATGGCTCTCACCAGTCATCCCAGCTATGGAAGGAAGTATAAAATAGAAGGGTCATGGTCCAAGCTGGCCTGGGTAAAAAGCAAGACCCTATCTCCAAAATAACCAGAGCAAAAAGGGCTGGAGATATGCTCAAGCAGTAAAGTGCCTGCCTAGCAAACATGAAATTTTGAGTTCAAACCCCAGTACCACCAAAAAAAAAAAAAGCTACACAATGGGAATATATTTATAGGATATATATCTAATAAATGTTTAATATGCCCTATAACTTCTAGGATATATATCTGATAGGTGTTTAACATCCCCTATAACTTGTAGGATATATATCTAATAAGTGTTTAACATCCCCTATAACTTATAGGATATATATCTGATAAGTGTTTAACAACACCTGTAATTCAACAACAAAAATACAAATAATCCAATTTTAAAATGGATAAAGTACTTGAATAGTATCTCTCTAAAGATACATAAATGACCAATAAGCACAAAAAGATGCTCACCATCGGTAGTTATCAGTGAAGTACAAATCAAAGCCACTTTAGACCTAACTGGATGGCTGTGATCAAAAAAGCAGAAAATGAAAAGCATTGGGAAGGATGTTGAGAAATTGGAACCCTAATGTGTTACTGGTAAGAAAGTAAAATGCTCTGGACCCTGTGGAAACCAGAGTTCAAAGTGTTAGACATGCAATTACTGTACCTTACATCATTCTGCCTGCATGCATATGCCCAAATGAATTGAAAACAGGTACGTAAGCAGATGAACTTATACCAGTGTTCATAGCTGCATTATTCATAAGAGACAAAGGTGGAAACAACCCGGGTATCCATCAAAAAATGAGTAAGTAGCAGGTATGGAGTTGCACGCCTGTTATCCCAGCACTTGGGAGACTGGGACAGGAGGATCAAGAGTTCAATTCCAGCCTGAGCTACATAGCAAGATGCTGTCTCAAAACACAACAAAGAGTTGAATAAGTAAACAAAGTGTGATGCATACATAGAATGGAATATTATTTAGCCTTGCAAAGGAATGAAGTGTGATACATGCTACAAAATGGGTAAACCTTGAAATACCTTGTTAATTGAAATAAACCAGACATAAAAGCACAAGTATAATATGGCTGCATTATATGAAGTATGTAGAATAGGCAAATGTATACAGCCAGAATGTGGTACAGAAGTGCCAGGCACTAGGGAAGGTGAGATTGGGGGTTTATTTCTTAATTGGTACAGTTTCTTATAGGATGATGAGAAAACTTGTGGAAATGCATCAAGGTATTGGTCGTCCAGCATTGTGTGTGTACTTGATCTCACTGGATTGTACACTTCAAAATGGCTTAGCAGGTCAATTTTATGTTACATGTATTACCATAATGAAAAAATTTCTTAGGGGGAGGGGGAGAAAGTAGAACCAAGGAGGTGGAGGGGGTGGATCCAGGTGTGATATATTTGACACATTCTAAGAACTTCTGTAAATGCCACAATGTACCCCCACCCAGCACAACAATAAAGGGGAAAAAAAGTTGAAGCAACTGATAAAATATCTGTGGAATAAGAGGATTTGGTAATTTGAAAAAAAAAAATTCTTAGATTCTGTTGTTTTACTTCAGTGGGAAAGACTGAAACAGAGGATAGTACATTCTTTAAATAAAGTTATTACATATGTTACCTTGTTTTCTTTGTTTTATCTGTAGTAAGAGATAAGCATTTTTAAATAGTTGTCACTTAATGGGTGTATCAAAACTCAGACCTTTTATCTGAGAGAGTCTTTTGAATGAACGATAAGGAAATAGGACTTACTGGAAATTCAGTCTGCTTATAGTTTCTGTGGCTCCTGCTAATAATTGTTTTCTTTTCTCTTGTCTATTAGACAGTTGAGCCAACTGGGAAGCGTTTCTTGCTGGCTGTTGATGTCAGCGCATCTATGAACCAAAGAGTCTTGGGCAGCATCCTTAATGCTAGCACAGTTGCTGCAGCAATGTGCATGGTGAGAAGACCTACGGCAATTGAGTGTTTCACCTGCTAGAAAATGTTTACTGTGGGAGAACTGTACAGCAGAGAGCGTCAAGAATTACCTTTCCACTTACTGTTGTCATTTCAATTTATAGACAAATTTATCATCTCTAAAGATAATTTTGTAAAGCAAAGTTTTAATGATATTGAAAGGCATGTCTAAGAAACAGTATGAATTGAACCTTAAATTTTATAATGAAAAATTAAATATTAATAGCATTTTTGAGGAAGTCCATAATAAGCTTTGAGCTCAAGGAATTAATAGTAAGAGTCAAGAGACTTCAGTTCTAGTCTGACGTCACTGAATAGGAAACCAAAGGTAGGCCTCTTAACTTTTCTCCTTTGACTTTGTTCCTAATTTGACAAAATGAGAGGGAAAATAGCTCCATTTATTTGCTTTCAAGGACCGCTGTGAAAACTAGTTTATTTGGTAGAGTTTGCGAAAAGTACTTTTGAAAGCTATTTTACTGTGACTTTACACTCTAAGACACAGTACTGCAAGTTCAGAAATAAAATAAGCATCATCATAGTGTTTCATTTAAAGATCAGGTTATATAAGCTTCAAGAGACTGTTTCCCCCAAATCTGCTGAAAATTACTACCATTTAATTTTTCAGGTGGTCACAAGAACAGAAAAAGATTCTTATATAGTTGCTTTTTCAGATGAAATGGTACCGTGTCCCGTGACTACAGACATGACCTTACAACAGGTTTTAATGGCTATGAATCAAGTAAGAAGCTGTTTTACCACATTTACCTAACATTTCTTGAATAATAATTTTATATTTATATCATGCAGATTGTTTTTGTTTTCTCATAAGCAGCACAAAAGCGTGTGTGTGTGTGTGTGCGCGCGCGCGCGCACATGCATATATGAGTGTATCCTTTAAGGAAGGTCTGTATACTGGCTTTAAACAAACTTACGTTGTTTAGAAAATAAATAAAAATGGTACTTTAAAATACTAGATTCTTCCAGACACCTCATTATGGACCCTGAGAGGCATTTTACTTTATTCTTGTGTTTTTGTCCCGAGTTAGATCCCAGCTGGGGGAACTGACTGCTCCCTTCCGATGATCTGGGCTCAGAAGACAAACACAGCTGCTGATGTCTTCATCGTGTTCACTGACAATGAGACCTTTGCTGGAAGTGTCCACCCCGCTGCTGCTCTGAGGGAGTATCGGAAGGTAAAACAAATTGCTGCTGTTTCTCACCCAAGTAATCCTCCATGCTCTTTCATTATGTGTTTTTAGAAATACTCCTAAAGGAATAGTGTTAACTCTGTAACTGTGGTCTCAGCAGTACTTGAAATAATACAAGCAGTGGCTTCATTCATAATTCATTCCTGTTAGCTAGCTCCAATGCCTGCACATTACTCAGAATGTCCTTTGCTAATGATATTTATGGTAATAAGCAAAATATTTAATTCACCTCAGCTATGAATTATTTTAATGATTCATTGTGTTCCTTGAAAAATTAAAGTAAAAGGCTACATAAAAGTAAAGCAGAACTAAATTTCTAGGGTGTAAGGGTGTAAGGTGTTTTCTATCAAGTGCCCCCAGCTGAGCTTTCTGTGGTGGTGGAAATAATCTGTAACTCGACTGTCCAGTACAGCAGCCCCTAGTTAGTTATATGGGGCTGGTGAGACTAGAAGTAGAACTTGTTTATGAAGAATAGTAGTTCTCGTGGTTTCCCTACCAGCAGCTGAGCATCATCTGGGACCTGGTTTACAAGTACACATTCCTAGACCACGTGGCACACCCTCTAAATCAGAAACACTGTGTGTGGAACTGTGTTTAAAAGCCCTCTAGAGGATTCTGATGCATGGTTAATTTTGAGAACCCCAGATGAGAGAACAGAATTTAGATTAAAGACAATCTAGATGTTTGTCCTGAGTCTTTTACTGTGGACCTGAGCAAATTATTTGACTGATACATGTCATAATAGGTAACAGTGCTTACTTTTCTGGTTGGTACAGCAATTACATTAGAGTGGGCGTGGTGTTTCACGCCTGTAATCCCAGCACTTGGAAGACTAAGGCAGAAGAATCACAAGAAAGCAGGTCTGAATTATGTATAAAACATTTCACTCAAAAAACAAAACAGACCCAGTTACGTTATGTACATTGTTTGAAAAGTTCGCTGTAGTACTTGACAGTGGTGTACATTCAGTAATTGCTGGCTTTCCTCAAAAACTATTGGACTGTAGGTATGGCCCAAGTGTTAACCTGCTTTGCAAGTGTTCAAACTGTTTGAACTTGAAAGCCCTGAGTTCAAACCCCAGTCTGACAAAAACAAAAGTAAAAGCAAAAATCCTCAGTTATTTTAACCTTAAATGTAACTACAGAGAGAGCTGTGTAGTATGTGCAAGGTCCTAGATTCATCTCCACCATAAAAATAAAAGAAAAATGAAGCTGTGTAGAACAAGTTCTGTTGTACACATCAGAACTGTGAACCAAACACTGGTAATCCCAGAGAAGTGTCTCCTTACATTTATAGCTACTCTTGCATACTGTCTCAGCATTTGACAGACTGAGAAAAATGCCTGGTACCCCTTAATATCCCGACAGGTTTCATAGTCACAAAGTTCCCAGGCTGCTCAAAAATACACTCTGTAAACACACAAAACAAGGAAGTCTCAGGGTTATTGTTTTATTTTATTTTGCATTTTCTACAGCTCTCATACTCTGACCCTAAAAGATTGTCCCCCACCCAAAAAAGACTTGCAATTAAAGGATTTTGTGGAATGAGTCAGTTTTAGGTTTTTTGTTTTTCCTTGCATACAATTTATATATATTATTATTTTTATTATTTTTCCCACAGAAAATGGATATTCCAGCTAAATTGATCATTTGTGGAATGACATCAAATGGCTTCACCATTGCAGACCCAGATGACAGAGGCATGTTGGACATGTGTGGCTTTGATACTGGAGCTCTGGATGTAATTCGAAATTTCACATTAGATGTGATTTAAAAACACAAGCACATTCTAGGAGGTCCACTGTCATCAGTGATCTCACTAAAAACAGCTCCTTCCCAGCGAAAGAGGATGGTACAGCATGTGCAAAACAGAAACTTACTTTACCAAAAACAACAAAGGAAGAAAAAGAAGAAAGGAAGGAAGGAAAACTAAGATGAGTCCAAAGTTCTGTCTGCTAAGCTAGCACACTTGGGAAATAGCTTCAGGGTACTGTAGCTTCCTCTAAGTTCTCTAATAGAGAACTTCTTGTTAATAGACACTGTATAATAGTCAATCAGCTTTGTTTTGGTAAATACATTTGTACCTAAAAGAGGTGAGATCCAAAAGTGTGAGTAGTTCTACATCATGTCACTTGTTTGAGAAGTACTTAGTGTTTTCTTACATGTTTTCATTAGAAAAGGACAGCTCTGATAATGTCCAAATACTCTGAAATGCACTAGACCATGTAACTGTGATGGAGTATGAAACTCATGTGTAAACCTTTATACCAAGGGAGTAAAACAATAAGGCATTTGATTAAATTTTGAATGAGTTTTACAAATTCCTTTCAGAGTTTTCTAAGATCACGTAACAGCCTTCTTACTCAATGAAAAGTTACTTTATTTCTGGTTTTATTTTTATTTGTAGAATTTGTTAGCATTTAACTGAAACAATGCAAACCCCTAAGAAGAGACTCAAGGAGTTTGTGTTAGCTGAGAAATTCCTTCTGTTCTGTTTTGTTTCGTTGTATTTTATTGCCAGGAGTGAGGATGTGACTTGACAATGATTTCCTCCTAGTAGCAACATAGTCTCCTGTTGTCCCACTTTCTTTTTTCATACTTGTCAATGAAGTAACTTAAAATGTTTCAAGCATTTAAACTCCCTCATTCATAATCTTGAAAGTGTAACAATGAAAATCTCAACTAGAAACAGATTAGTTTTTTTTCTTACTCTTAAAATAATCATTTAAATTACTTTTAGCTACTTTTGACATTTTCTAATTGTGAACATGTCAGTGGTCTCCAGTGTCTTTGTTCATTATTTATGTTGTGACTAAACATTCTAATTAAGCAAGCTAGGTCCTTCAGGTTTGAAAGGCAATTTTTGAGCCGTTTATTACCAACTAAGCAGTCTAGGAAATCTTAAAAAAATATTTTGTGTATATTAAACTTCCTTCTCATTATGCTAACATGCATTATTTTCTTGAGTAGATATCCTGTCTTTATTGAGAGGTGAACATGAAACGAGCTGTCTGTTGAGAGTCCAATATTTTTCTCATCATTTTGTAATGTTGTTGAAGATAGTTTACACATGCATTGTTGTTTAAATATTAGTGGAAGGTTTACTGGGGAGCTTTAGTGTTGTATGAAAAGTCAAACAGTAGTAGATGTAAATTACAGCTTTTACACGATTAGAGGTTAGTGGTTTGATGTGTTTTGGGAAAGGGGGGCTTTAATAGTGTGAGGATTGTGTGTGTATTTTCTTCTGTTTCTTGGGAAATTTAGACTAGGAATGGCAGAAAATGTTCCTTTCAAAGATACTTGACATAGTCATGCTAGCTTTGAGACATAGCCAGTCCTTCAAGACAGCTGGTAACAGTTTTTAAATGTTATTTGCCTGAGATATTTTTGGTCAAAAAAGCTAGTAGTAATTTCTACTTCAAATATGCATTGCTTCTGTTGTGATCCTGGTTTTAACTTCTGTCAGGCATGGAACTTAACATTTTAGCTACTTTGGATACATTGAAATATTTTGTTCAAATTGAATTTAAAGAATCTAAGAATTATATATGAGCTTAAATTCTTTCAACCCAGGAGCTCCAGAAATTACAGTTATACTATGATTTCACTTTTTATTCCTGATGGAAATGTAACCTAGAATATGAAAATTTATTTCCTTCATTTATTGCTATGTGGATGGAGTGCTTGTAGGCATACAGAATGTCTAGAAGCTGATACTAATTCCACCAGGAAAGTAGATTAGACATAACCTTTTTGAAGTATTTAGGTAGGTCTAATGAAACGGATTAGGATAGATTTAAGAAAGAAAGGGGGTGGGAGGAAAACTGAAAGAAGCCACGCCAGAGGTCATTTTATTTTCAAATCATGGAACTTCAGAGTTGAAAGAAACTTTAGAGGTTTGGGTTGGAGAACTGCATTCCAAGACAGCCTATGATGCAGGAACACTGCACTCTAGAAATCTCAGCTTGTCATTCCCATTCTAGTTCTCATTTCCCCACTACGTGGGAACACGCTGACTCGGAAGAGTAGGAAATAATATGTATGCATGATTGCTTTCGGAGGAGGAAACCAGATTGCAAACATGTATAATTTTTAAATCTTAGTAATCCTCAAGCACAATTAATGTTTTAATAGCCAATGTTGCTATATAACATAGTCCTATAGAAAAACATGAAACAGACTTTACCTCATTGTAAGTAGAAAGTACTCAAGTGATAAACAAGTTTTATTTTCTGAATTCCTTTTTGGGTTACTGTTACGTTAATATTTGGGGAAATATTACTTTTAAAAATAGTCCTAAGAAAAGTAAACTATTTCCTAGATGATATGTAAATATTTCCAGGATTTAGTTGTTATTAGTAAACAAAAAACTAATCTTACAATCTTACCCTTTCTTATTAGTTGAAATTTCTTGGAAATTCCATTTGTTAGAACTGTTACATTACTTAGTAAGTGTTTTGTGAGGATGTTAGCGAGGCAGTGTGCTGGAGAATGGCACTAGTGTTGCCTGTTGGCACTGTATCTGCTTTCTTTAACTTGCTGTGTGAGTGTAGAAAACCTGTTAAGCCAGTGTTGGATTCTGCCAGCTTCAGAAAGTAACATCATATGCTTTCACATAGAAGAATTAGTGATTTCATGCTAAAATAAAAATTGAAACTGGGCTTACATGCAAGTTAAAACTTTTTAATTGAAAATATTCCTGTTAATAGGATAGGAGTTTTAAAAAAAAATTTTTAGAAAAGTAGCCCAAATAGGCCTAATCCTTTTTTTAAAAAACATTCTTTTTCAGAGTGGAAAAATTTACATAGTTAAGGTATTGACAAAGAAGTCACTATTCTGCCATAAAGAGAAAATTCTTTAGAAATGTTCTCCAAATCCAAGATTCTCTTGGATCAATCTACAAAAACTTACTCTTAAGTAAGGAAATGCTATTAACAAACATTTGCTTAATCTTTTTAAAAATAAAAAGTATGTCTACAAATGATAGGATGCTATTTAGGGTTTTTTTTTTTTTTTCATTTTCTATATTTTGCAAAAAGTAACATAAGACTATGTTGAAAAGATAAAATCCCTGAGTAAATTTGAGGGTATGACAATTAAAATTATCCTTAAAAGCACAGGAAAGCTACGTCAAAATAACTAAAGGCTAAATCATTGCAATCTCTCATTGTACTTACTTTAATTTGACCTAAAGATACTGCCACAAATTTGGTCAGTGCTGCCTGTGCCCTAAAGGTAATCAAAGATAAAAGACTCTAGTCTGGAATCCCACAGGTTTAGAGTGATTTCATTATGACAGTCTGTCCTTAGAGCAACAACAGATAACTCAGTATAAACATGCACAAGGAAGAATTACAAAAAAAATAAGTTTGGCTAGGAAGTGTTGCTGTGTGGAGGTACTGTTTCTCTGATGTCTGCTCCCTGATACCTGATTTTCATGGTGATTCTTTTATGCTTTTTTTTTTTTTTTAATTCCTTCTCACATTTTTGTCCTTTTTCTAGTCTGATCTATGTGAGTAGTGATATGAATGAAAGAAAGTCACCTACATTTAGGTTTGGAGTGAATCTCTTGCAGATTGCTTTTTTGTTTTATACCAATTTAAGATATTTTTTCCAAATCGAAAATAGGCAGGTCTCTCACAGTAATAACTGGATTGGTACATTATCTCCCCAAACCAAATTATATTGTAAATATTCCAGAAATTCCATGGCCATTCAGTGAGATCAGTTATCCAGCCTTTGTTTGCAATTATAAGTGTATTTACCTGCACCAAGGAGGGCTGCTTTACTACATAAGCACTTCTAGAAAAATAACTGACTAAATACTCTCTGAAAATGGCATGTCTCGATGCTCATATTTCCAAAAATACAAAGACTACTCTCAGAGTCTTTGGTTCACTCAGTCTTTCACTGAGTTTATATACACAGAGCATACAGCGTAAAACCTTGTAAATAACTTGTATTAACAATTGGGATTTTTTTTTCTTTTAAAAAAATTATTAATGAAAGTTAACTAAAAATTTAATCCTAAAATATTTTTCACATAGAAAACTTAATAGTGTAGCCTAAGTATATTATTTGAACAAAATTATAATGATGACACATTTTCATAGATCCTGAAAATAACAAAATATATTGGAAAGTGGTAGAAAGGAGAATATGTTGCAAAATTCTATTACTGAAGTTAAGGTGACTACTTACAGTGAGAATGATCTAGAAATGCAATGAAAATATACAAAAGTTCTGTCTGATCCTAAGAGATTTTTCCCTTTGCTTCTAATTTAGCTCTGCCATGCACCATATTAAGTTTATGAATACAGATGAAATTTTAATTTCTAAAATGTTTAAATTTTTGCACCTTTCCAAATTAGCAGAATCTGTACCTGAACAAAGAAAAGAGTAACTTAGCTACATGTCTGCTGGTTTCACTTAATAAATACTTAGATTGTTAAGGGTAGGGAGTGAAGCTAAAAACTTGCAATTTTATACATAGTGTTGCCACATATAATTGGTAGACTATCATGTCACTACAAATAATGTGTTGAAACTTGTGTTTAAATGATTTACTAGGCTTTATTTGCAATGTAAACTGTTTAGAGTCCCTATATAGCCAAGTTAAAGATACACAGTTAATGGATAGTAATGAAAATGCTTTTGTTGCACTGTTATTCTAAATATAAACTATCTGTTTGGTTTGGTGTAACTTAACACTCTATAATGTATTTGAGTTATATTTTCTTCCTTTTACTCTTTTCTTTAAAAAATTGGGGAAGTGGAAGTGCTCTAATCTGTCTATTCACTTTATATGATGGCTTTGATTTCCAAAATTGGCCATTTGATGGATATTCAAATCATCCAGAATAATGTTTGCATAGAATAAATTTACGTATCTAAAAGCCTTAAAGTGAAAAGAAAAAAAGTGACCCTTTTGACTGCCTTAAAATACTACTAGCTCTCCTCTAGGCATACTAGTTACTTTCTTTGGGATCTGTTATTAAGTGATGCCTTAATAGTGTCCTCGTGTTTCTGAAGATAGAACTCAAAGGGTCTTTTAAAGCTTTTAATTTTACATAAAGAATGGAAATTGTTAAATTTAAAAATCTGATTGTATATTCGTAATCTAAACATTAATAGAATAATCTGGTGTGTGTGTGTGTTATACATATATGACTGTAACATCAGTAATATTTTATGGTAGTTTGTTTTTTATTGTTTTGTATCAAACCAATTATCCAAGAAGCTAAACTTTGTAACATGACCTCTAAGGACCAAGTTGCATATTTAACAGTATGAATGAAAAGTACACTTGTATAGTTCCAAAAATGATTAACTTTCAAGAGAATTTTTCAAGACAAAGGCAAATATTTTCTTTCAAGCCTACAACAAAGTCATGAGAGGAAGTGGATATAGTGCTAAAACACCAAGACTGTTGCAATAAAAAGTGGCCGGTGATTATTTCCATGCACTTTTGCCTTTCAAAGCAGTAATATTTTATAAAGTGGAAAGAACACTTTAAATTGTCAAGCTGATGCTTAAAGGTTTATAGTTGGATGTAAAACAAGTTTATGTCATTTCTAAAGAAAGGAGCCTGAGGGGGAAGAGGGCTTTCTAGAACTGTCGATGAACACGGTACTCTGTCCAGTCTTCCGAGTTTCACTGTAAATACACCTTTATGACGTTACTGCTGCTTCTGATCAGGAATGGATGAGTGTTCTGATTACTAAATTTATTTCATGGTAAAAACTTTCACTGACTGTTTCTCCTTTCTAATATTGAAAAATGCCCTACTGAATACAAGTTGAGTATCCTTTATCTGAAATGCTAGGGACCAGAAGTGTCCAGGATTTTCTTCATTTTGGAATTATTTGCATATATGTAACGAGAGGTCTTGGATGTATTCCAAATATACCTTACACACCTACCCTAAAGTAATTTTGTATTTTGAGTGTGCCTGCATTTTGACTGTGATCTGTCACAAGAGGTCACTTACAGGATTTTCCACATTTGACATCATGTTAACACTTGAAAAGTTTCCAGTTTTGGAGCACTTAAGATTTTGGATTTTCAAATTAGAGATGCTCAACCTGTAAGTCGTTTTAGACATGGAGCGCAGGCGGGCACCCTTGTGAACTGTTTCTAGCTGGTTAATTATTGTAGAAACTGATAGGTATACCAAATAAATTCTATGCACATAAAATATTTCTCTTCATTTCTTTTAAAAAAAATATGAACTTTAAGGTTATTATATGCCTTACATCTCAGGCCTTTAATCTGTTACAGTTGAGTGAGGTGAAATTAGGTTTTGATAATGTGCTTGTAATGGGCTACCTGCATATAAATATCATTTAGTTAAAGTATATGTGTTATGTGTTGGGTGTTCTTTTCCTCCAGTATAGGTCCATTATAGGATCAATTGGATTTCAATCAAAGTGCAGTTTTATTTTATTTTTTGACAGTATTGGGGTTTAAACTCAGGGCCTCACACTTGCTAGGCAGGCCCTTGACCACTTGAGCCACTCTGCCAGCCTGAAATCAGTTTGACTGGTATTCCCAGTCACAGAAATGGGAGAATATCAGCATTAGAGATGACTTGAGGGGCTGTCTTACCAAGTTCGTATTGCTGTAACAGAATACCCGAGACCAAGTAACTTAGGAAGAACAGTGTATTTCCTAGTGTCATGGAAGCCGTAAAGCTCAGAGTCAAGGACCTGCATCTGCTGAGAGATTTCTAGCTGCACGAGGCCATTCCAGATAGTAGAAGGAGAGAGGAGGGGGCCAGACGTCGCTGTGTCAGGAACTCCTGTGGTAGCCAAGACAGACCCTTAATAACAGCAGTAATCCATGTGCCTTCGGGATCTACTTACCCTGTAAAGGTCCCACCTCTCAGCATTGGCAAACTTGAACTTTGGGAGACACATTCAAACCATGCCAGCAGTATTCAGTCACTTGTCATCTAATACCTGGTTCCCTTAAGGAACATGTCCAGCAGTCATTCTGCACATTCTGGAAGGAAGAACTCCACCTCACAAAATAACAAGAACATTTTCTGAAGTGTTTCAAAAGTTCATCCTCAACACTCAAATACTCCTTTTTTACCCAAAGGGACATTCTGTTTCCTGGAACTATTGAGTCCTTTAAATTAGTGATTTTGTTTTTCTACAAATGTAGCATGTTTGTAGAAGTAGGTGAAGGCTTGTCACAGATACTTCCTACCTAGCTCACAACTGTACCAGTGACAGCCTCAAGTTTTAGAGAAATCACACATTAGCCCCTACTACTGAAAGTACAGGAAACAGAATTTCAAATGCTTACCTCCTAGTTCTTGGTTGTAAAATTCATACATAATACATTCTTTCCTGGTCCTTTCAGTCCAGCCCACACCCCTTCAGTTTTAGACATTGTCTGTTTTGCTTAAAAATTGGGAGCTAGTCTCAGTGCTCTGGCTCTTCGACAGCTGGGACTGTGCAGACAGCTTCCGAGCTAAGCAAAGTAAGCCCAGAACCAACAGCAAGGAACCCCTTTCAGAGTAAAAGCCCTGGTGAAGGGTGGGTACCCTCGCTTGACTAGGAAGTTGCCCCTGCAGGCTGCAGCCCCCTTTCCTGTCTACTGCAAGCCTTGGTGCCTCTGCTCTTGTGGCTGTATGAGCTTGGTTCAGCCCTTGTCCCATCCTGTCACTGGGCAGGAATTAATTGATTTCATAGCTGCTAAAACTGAGGCAAGGCTCAGGATAGACCACTTACACCTTCCCCGAAAATGAGTGGAGGGAAATGGAACTAATATATCAACTTGTTGAAACACAAATTCAAATGCTGACCCAACTGAAACCAGAGCTGATTATTTTTGTTTGCCTGAAGCAACGAACTTGAACTAGATTTGACTGTAAACATAGGTCTGCAACTTCCTGTTCCTTGACTGCCTCTCATTTTAACCTGTATACTCAATAACCTGTGAGTTTTATACTGATGGTACCTGGATGGCTGGTTTTATAGTTACTGGCTTCCATTTATTGGTCATCTTATGTTTGTCAGATATGAGTATTTATTTTTGGTGGCACTGGGGTTTAAACTCAGGGCCCCATGCTTGCTGGCCAGGCCCTCTTCCACTTGAGCCATTCCACGAGTCATTTTCTGTGATGGGTATTTTCGAGATAGGGTCTTGGGGACTATGCCTGGGCTGGCTTTGAACTGCAATCCTCTTGATCTTTGCCTCCTGAGCAGCTAGGATTATAGGTGTGAGCCACCAGCACCAGGCTAAGAATATTTTTGATGACTCCTTAGGACAAGTAGTCCTGCAACTTAAGTGGCATTGTCCCCAGCTGACAATTGTTCAGGCAGCAAGTCAATGGTAGAGGCAGAATATCAACCATTTGACCATCAAAGACCCATTCTCTTGTCTCCACCTGTTTCTTTCAGCACATACTTGCCTAAGGTCTGTATGCACCATGTGCAGGGCTCTGATTCACCTGTAGCCTGTACAGTCCGATGAAGATGTGAGATGAGGCTGCAGATGCAAACAGGGAGCAGATCATAGAGGGTCTTGAATGCCATGCAAAGAAGTTTTGGAAGGAGATGGTGGGGAGTTTTCAGTGAAGGGAATTTAAAGTGTGCAGGGATGGGGATGCTGAAAGTAAACTGGCAAGTAGGAAAATGAGGTTTTCACAACAATTTATTATTTTTAGTCTTTATGAAGATAACTCACATACTTAAACAGCTCCAAACATGTCTAAGGCATTATCACTTTCACTGGCATTTCCTAGTCATGGTGAGTGCCTGTATCATTGACACTCTTTCCTCTTACTGTTTTTTAAATAACACTGATGAACTAGTGGCAGTAATTTCCCTTCTTTATGGAGCCTGTGAGTATCAGCTGCACCTCCAATAAAAGCTCCATTGACAAATATTCTTGGGACCTGTTGGAGAAACAAAAGATAAATGAAGCCTAACCTTAGTGTCAGAGTAAAAAATCATTTCTTGTGATGACAGAGGCTTATGCTCTGGCTATTTTTACCCCAATTTGGGAGTAACATGCCTAAAATCACAATACTGGTAAATGACAAGAGTTGGGATCCAAATCCAAGACAATCTGATTCTAAAGCCCTTCCTCCTAATCATTATGGTATATAGAAGAAAATAAAGCAACCTCTAATTATTAATAATTTCTATTAACTGACATTGATAACTAATGGTTCTTTCTTATTAAAAGGGATGAGTGCACTTCTTCCATGCACACATGCATAAGCAAAGTGGCAACATTGCGTATTTTTCTGATTATGCCTATCATGGAAAAAGCTACAAATTTCAAGAGTCTAGAACACTCTTGAAAGCACTCCTATCAGCACCATAACTGAAGACTGACTCCTGGTTTGTTCTGTCCAACTAAAGAGAGGAAGAACACTTTGATCTTGTGAAGAGCTCCAAGAGGACCTCAACCATCCAGACCAGCACTCACGACATGGTTACTCCACCTACCCAGCCAACACACACGCACACACACACACAGAATAAAAATAAAAATGAACTAATTGCTGTTTTTTAAGAATCTGGTCTTAGTTTTGCCATTTCTTTATCAACACAAGGTGCTCAGAGAATGTCTGGCCCACTTTTCCTAACACGAAGATCTGGCATGTAGTTGACTCAGGTCACAGCCTGTCATCGGGATATACTCACGGTTCTTCCGCCAGTAAGTTTGTAAAGAGCATCTTGAAACTGGCTTCCATAGTCAAGCTTGTCCAGTTCCACAACTTTATAATTGACGTTCATGTCATGGAAAATCTGTTTAGCCATAGTACAGTATGAACATGATGTTTTGGAAAAAATCACCACACAGTTATCAGAAATTGTTTCCTGAAATAAAACCAAGAGAAAAATCACTTTCATTCAGGATATTCCATTTTAAAAAGAAGTCATGATGTGGTGGAAAGGGTTTGGATTTTGCTAGGCTTCTGCAGAGCCTGGAAAGTTTCCGCTTTGTTCTTTCTAAATAAATGCATGTCTACATCCTTCAAAAGATTTTGAAGAGTCAGGTGCTAGTGGCTCACCTGTAAACACAGCTACTTGGGAGGCTAAGACTGGAAGGAGACCAGCCCTGGCAAATCGTTCTCAAGACCCCATCTCCAAAATAACCAGAGCAAAATGGAGTGCCTGCTTTGAAACCATTAAGCCCTAAATTCAAACCCCAGTCCCACTAACAAACAACAACAACAAAAAAATGAAGAGACAGGTGTGGCACCCCGGCAGCTTTTGAATGGCCAGGTCTATCACTTGGCATCTGTCTAGAATGTTCTTGTGTGGTGGGTCATAACTGGCACTTTCAGAATGAAGACCAACAGCATCAGCATCCACACGAAGAGCTCCAGAAGTGACACCCAACTTTGGGTGTCAGGAGAGTCCCGAGTTACACCCTCACTGTCTCAGCAAGCTGATCTATTTTTATGCTTTCTCTTCTGCTTACTCATAATATTTAGTATTAAATTCTATCCCAACCATACCAGAGGTGCACTAACAAGCCCATTTTACAGATGACAAAACTGAGGCCAAGAGGTTCAAAACATTTGGATTTGACCCAACCCCTCGTGACACCAAAGCCAGCGCTCCTCTCTCTACCTTGATGCTTCAGGTTTAGGCACATGGAGCCTTCAGAGAGAGAGGTGAGCATGCTGGGTGCTAATGTAGTGTGGAAACACTAGTGAGAGGTTCCACAGTGAGCTGAAGCTACAGATGACAGCCTCAAGCTTTCCCGATCCCTCTTCCCACCTCCTCTCATGTGGATCTTGCTAAATATTTTATGAGGCATTTTGATATTAAAACATCATTTCAGCCAGGCATAGTGGTACGTGCCTGTAATCCTGGCACTCAAGGCTAAGGCAGGAGGATGGAGAATTCAAGGTAAACATAAGCTACACAGTGAGAACTTGTCTCAAAAAAAAGAAAATTCCCTCACAATAAGTTTCTAGTATTAAATGCTACACTCAATAGCTATGACTTTGTTGAAGTAAATACATGGGTTTTGTTCTGTTTTGTTTTTGTGGTACTGTCCTTGTGAAATGTGGGGCCTCCAGCTTGCTAGGCAAGTATTCCACCACTTAACCCACGCCTCTAGCTTTTTTTGCTTGAGTTTGTTTTTCAGATAAGGTCTCACACTTTTGCTGCATGCAACCTCAGACCTAAATCCTCCCATCTACCTCCCAAGGAGATGGAATTACAGACGTGCACCAACCATCCCCACTTGTTTTATGAGATTGGGCCTCGATAACTTGTTTTGCCTGAGCTGGCCTCAAACCACGATCCTCCTCTCTTTGCCTCTTGGGTAGCTAGGATTACAGGTGTGTACCTACACAAAATATAAGAAAAATATTTTTTTATATGTAATGGCAGAAGGGGAATAGAAAAGTGTATGTCTTACAGGCTGCAGGGTGGGGAGGGGTGGATATAAGAGAAATTCTGTTTTCTTTTTTTCTTCTGGTCTGGGTTCTTTTTGTTGTTGTTGTTGTTTTGTGGTACTAGGGTTTGAACTCAGGCAGCTGAACCTGAAGGGCAGAGGGCAAGTGCCACTCCACCAGCCCTTTTTATTTTTTTGATAGAGTTCTTGGTATATAGCTCAGGCTGGCCTTGAATTCTCAGTCCTCCTGCCTGGGCATCCCAGGTGTAGCTTAAGAGAAATTTTCTGAGGCAGAATTAACTAAGATTGGCAGGACAGTGGGAAGAAAATGGGAGGGTGCAACCATGCACAGTGTCCCTGAGAGGAGTGCTACTGAGTTACTATTGCACACTAGTTTCTGTGCAGGGTAGAACGCTCTTACACAGCTGTCCCGACCCAAATCAATACCCTTGGCTTTGGACAGCTTGACTGGGAAGGACCAGTACTTGAGGTAGGCATGATGGAAAAAAGCAGTCAACATCACAGAGCGAACTTGGAAGAAAGATTCCAGTAAGAATAAACCTCTAGATGGACTTCACATACCTGTGTGAAACAGAACAAAGAAACCTCTAACGATTGCTTTAAGTGGGGTGGGGAGGGGTCTGGGAGTAGTGGGGTGTTCTAACCAACATACAATATAAGCCTATTTGGAACTGTCACAATCCAACGACTACATCCTAATAAAAAAATTTTCTTAAAAAAGAATAAATCTCATAAATTTTGACTACCAAAGTGATGTGAGACTTGTCACATATATTATTTTAATAACAGATTTTAAAATATACATTCATTTAGTAAAATTCATTTGCTGAATTATGGCAAGTTTGGATGCAGAATAAGCAATTAAATGCGTGAGACAATTCTTTTTCCAAGGAGAGATTTTTTTCCTCCATCTCCCCCATCACTCACTTGGATCTGGTTCACAGGAGTCATTGCTGGCTCAGATGACATTGCGTTCCCCATCCTAAAAGGAACCAAAGACAGTGCTGTTTACTAATTCATAATCGACCACAGGTAAACAAACTGCTTGTTTACTAAAACCAAAAGGACCTGTGGGCTTATCTAATCAGCTTCTTGATGTCCTGAATAATTTGACAAAATCAAAGTCACCATGTTTAAAGTTCAGGAACCTTCTATTCACAACCTTCTGTTTAACCAGTGATCTGACCACTGGTTAAAAAAGGTATCTTCTCCACACACAGGAAATCAATGTGAGTCAATGCCCTGTATAGCTATCCTTATCTCAACCAGCAAAAACCCTTGTTCCTTCCTATTATTGCTTATACT